GACTCGCAGCTGGGGATAGGAACGTCCTGTGGTTCAGCATCACTGTTTCGCTTTGAAACTACGGATATCGTGTTGTGTCCTGACTGGCTAACCGGTAACGAGGATTCCTCATCACCTGCATTTTATCAAACACAAATAGGTATAATAGTTCCTACAGTTAGTGTCGCACGGTATTAATTAATGCCTGCGTGCTACTGAGAAAAAGGGATTTTCTTACCATTGTTGCACAGTTGGTTGATAGGCTGTGAGGTCCAGTCAGCCTCTAAAGGCTTATTTTTTGGCATTTATTTAAAGAGATTTATAAAAAATTTTTGTGTGAATCTGATGTTGGGATGTTGGCAGGTCTGCCAACCACTGAAACGCGTCAGGAGCTGACAGGGATGAGTAACTGCACGTTCTGTTGCAGTCATCTGGAGGAAGCCAGCTCCCTCGTTTAAAAATAAAGAATTTAAAGTTCAGGTTTGTTTCCTAACAAAGTTACCCCCCTTGCCTTACTAATGCCCCTCCCGGCCCATCCTCGTCGTCTGGCCTTGTGCCCCTGCGCTGTGTGCGCATGCAGCGCTGATCAGAGAGGGATGCTTTCTTTAACTCTGTAATTAAAAAAAAAGATAAACTAAAAGCATAAGTGATTGGATCTAAAAGTGATTTTACTCTCGTCACACTCTGTCAGTGACTGGAGTAAGACATTTTATAGAAATCTTAACATTTATAATAACAAAAACCCCTGCCCCACGTCTCAAACTGAGGAATCTTAGGCAGATGCTGGATCTTGGAACTGCGTTTCTGTCCCATCTGCTGAGTCCCGCGGGGCTGCGTCTGCTGAGCACGTGGCAGGGGTCATACGAGCTTTGGAAATGGGCACTGGAGTGCGGGAGTTCAGGCCCTCTTACACTTGAATTACGGGAATCTCTTCGTTACTTCAGTGGGAATGGGGTTTAATGTTAGGTAGTCGTATGACATAAAATCACTACTTACCTGGTAATCAGTCGTGGTTAATGAATTAGCTTGAATGGATTTGATTTTAAACTTAAATTCCACGTATACTTTGTCAGAGACAGCAATGTAAAAGCTACGTTTTGGACAACTTTTGGAGGCGGCTTTGGCAAGAACACTCGCAGGCCCAGACGAGGAGCTCGGGTGGAGAGCCCAGCGACGCCGGGGCCTCTCACGAGCTGTGGTCAGCCCTTGGCTGTTACCCGTTGTCCGCGCCTTGCTCAGCCGCGTTCCCTGGAGCAAAGGGGCACCGCTTAGATCAGCCTGTCCTTCGCAGACGGCGCCGCTGGTCTCTTTGCCATTGTGAACATCTTCTGGTACAACCCAGATCTTCTGCGGATGAAGTGTTAACAGCTCTGTTTCACAGCCAGCTGGCGTTTAAAGCTCTGTCTGGACATGGACAGTGTTTGTTGGTCTAGAAGGTTGTAGCAAAGTTCTACAGCTGTTAGGCACGGTAACGTCACAGCTTTCAAACGCAGCTGGGCAATCGGAACTTTTATACCAAAAAAGAGAAATAATCTGTGCTAACGGCCTTTCAGTGGTGCGGGTGTGATCTGTCTGGGTTTGGTCTGAGTGTCAGCACCGCAGCTGTAAGTGCTCGCCCTGCGCCGGGCTCGGGCCTGCGCAGCAGGGTGCTGCGAGGTTCTCCTACAAAGCTCGCCTCCTTTTTGCTGTTTGGCTCGAGCACCCTGCTTCGTAAACACAACACGCCCACCCACCTACAACTGGACAAATGTATTTTTGAAGTATGTAAGAATATTTTTTTAGCTAGCTATTTTTTGTTAAAGCCACACTAACTACTGTATTTTTACCTTTTGTATGTAAAGCTTGGCAATAGTTCTCAATGTATAATTTATTTGTTGTTTTTTTATAAAACAAAGTGCACCCTCTTGCTTCTGTTTCACAGCAGTAGTGATGTATGAACTGTTTCAGGCACTGCACCGAGATCTGTATTGAAACTGTACGTGGGAACAAGAAACTCTGATTTGTAGTCCACTCAACCCAAGCTTGAGATGTTTATACTGTAGTTTCTTCTTAAATATACCACATCAGTGCAAAAGTCTCACAGAGTCATCCTTGAGCAGGGCCATGTCGCGCTGCT